TTAAGCCACTTCCGCATGTGTTCAATTCCCTCCTGCCCCGGAGGTGACCCACATAGTGAGGCAGACCTCTCCTGACCCACCTGCTGCTCCCCTCAGCAGTGTACTTCGTCAATCTGCCTGTTCTGCTCCCCGCTCTGTCTCTGGTGAATTCTCTCAGCCTGCACATCTCTGGCCTGTACCCCAGTTCTGTATGAATAGAAAAAAAAAAAAGAACCATTGGAATTTGGAAGGCACACCTGTGGCAGGACCACAGACAATGCTAATACCTGCCTTGCATTGCATCATCGATGCCTAGACCTATGCTGAGGTCTAGGAACCTCAGCTATCAACAAAAGAAAATAAATTCAGTCAATGATGTTACTATAGATGTATAATGAGCTCTATTTCCAGTTTCTTTCTTTTTTAAAAAAAAGATTTATTTATTTTGTGCATACAGAACTGGGGTACAGGCCAGACGTGCAGGGGCAGTGAGAGGATTCACCAGAGACAGAGTGGGGAGAGCAGAACGCAGATCGACAAGTACACTGCTGAGGGGAGCAGCGGGCGGGTCAGGAGAGGTCTGCCACGCATGTGGTCACCTCCAGGGCAGGCGGGAATCGAACTCATGTGGAGGTGGCCTCAGCCTCTCAGTGCTGTGCTTTAACCTGCTGCGCCACCAGGGAGGGCCCTATTTCCAGTTTCTTTATGAAATGACATTACACTGTCTGATGGAGAGAAGATCAAAGAGCATGGATCAGAGAATTAGAGTGTGATATCTGCAGCCTACTATTAGCTATTTTTTTCTAGATTTTATAATGGTGTGCCATGTTGCAACTTCTATATTTTACAGTGTATCACATTTATTTTCCTGTTCTAAAGAATCATCCCTAATATTGTGTAGTCATCAAGTCAATGTTTTAAGGAAGGTTCCCATATTGTGGAAAATTTCAGCACTTGAAATTTGATCCACACACATATATTATTCAAATCAATATAATTCCCAGTCTTAATATAAAAAAATAAAATGTAATTACTTTATAATACTAAATAATCCTCTATACACAGGATGAATGTGACAGCTCTGAATGCAACCTGATACGAAGCAGCGGAATTGGTGACACAAATTTCAGGAACATTATAACTACTGGAGAGCTGATTTGCTGAACAGTAGACAATTCTAGGGTATGGTTCCAGGAAAAGCAAAGAATGTAGTACTTTATGAAAACATACTATATGCAAAGTACAAAATAAACTTTGCATGCACTTGTCAGTCAGGTTCAAGGCTCAAATATTTATGAAATATCTGGCTGGACCTTCAAAAGTTCTGCAGAAGTGGGACAATCTTCATTATGCAAAGCTGTCCTAATGATCACAGGACATTTGGCTGCCAGCTAAATGTTAAAAATGTAAGCTGTACACCCATCCCTGAAATAGGCAACAAGCAATACCTCCCCACAGTCCAGCTAAACACACATATACATAGGGGCACACAAACACACATACATACATGTGAGCACATGCACCTACACACTCTTGGGGAGTATGACCTGAGAGATTCAGGTGACGCCTCATTCCCAAAACCCTACCCTCACCCCTAAAACACCCTGGTCACAGAACTGTTAGCACAGGTTCTGAAGGATTAGGGCTTCAGAAGTTACCTATTAAAATGCAAATGTCCTTGGTCTGGCTGAGACCTCTTGTCCTTATCTGCTAACAGCCTAAAGGTATCCCTTTAGGAGAAGGCTGTTTCCATTTTTTAACTGTGTAATTCTGGAAGGAAGCATAAAATAGACCTGGTCTCCAACTGTATTTGTCTAGAGGGCTGACTCCATATAAGGAGAGAGGTTTCTCTGTCTAGCACCACTCCTTGAAAATTATCTGAGGACTCCCAAGAGCAGCCACCCCCCACCCCCATCCCCACAGACCCATGAGTGTGAAGGGGCTTCTGATGTTTGCAGCACAGTAATTTAAAGGTTCTAAGCTGCAGCTTCTGGCCCCCACTGCTGTGTCCTCAGGATGGCCCAGAAGGATGGGGTTGGAGTCATTTCTCTGTGGCTCTTTACAAGTAATGACACTAACAGTAATAGTAATAACATGCTTATCTGTGACTCCATTCTAAGCCTTAGTCTTTATTAACTCACTTAATTCAACCATAGGCACCCTGTCACCTCTGTTTTACCAGCAAGAGCAAGGCACAGAGATCCAGTGATTTGCCAAGAATCACACAACCTATCAAGCCTGAGCTGAGAATCAAACTCCTGTTTGTAGTTTTAGATAATTCCAACGAATTGTAATATTAAGATATCTTTTCTCAGTCTATTTCATCCTTCACTATACTTGGAATAAGGCATGGCTTTGAGCTAGACCCCTAAACTTTTAGAGCTTCCACTACTTTTTATTTTTAATTTTAACACATATTTATGTATTTACTTTTTACATCATTCTTCATTTTGTACATTTTTTCTTCTTGGTTGTAATCCCCGTGGACTTCCCAGCACCAATTCACCCGCGTGCCATCACCATAGTCCTGTGCACTCTTTCCGCCCCAGTTTTGATCCTGTTCTCCTCTCCCTATAGAGGAGATCCTCTTTCCCTCTCCCCATTCTACCCCTGTAGAATGTCTCTGGTTTATAATTGTTCATTGTTTTTTGTTTTTACTTATTACATTTTTTTTTTCTGGTTCCTTACGCTCCTCCTATGAGTGAAACCATCCGGCATTTTTCTTTTCCTTTCTGGCTTATTTCACTAAGCATGTTCCCTTCTAGAGAGGGATCCCTGCCAGAGAGGAAGAAAACAAGCATGATGCTGCAAAAGACGGCCAACAGGCATTTGAAAAAAATGTTCAACATCTCTTGTAATAAGGGAAATTAAAACCAAAACCACAATGAGATACCATCTCACATCAGTAAGAATGGCACATATTAAAAAAAAAATATCAACAACAAATGTTGGCATGGATGTGGAGGACAAGGAACTCTCCTACATTGCTGGTGGGAATGCAAACTGGTCCAACCACTATAGAGAGCTTCCACTACTTTTGAAATAGACAATCTGATAAGATGTACCTATAAACATCCTGCAGTTAATCAGTCCTAGTGAATGACATGGTCTTCTTCGAACTTAAATGATAGCATATTTTATTAAAATCAGTTGCTTGAACTGTATTTTGTAGCTAGTCTCTATTCACATCTTTCTTTCTCTGGAAAATTCCACTAATTTGCCCTTCCATGTTAGAAAGAAGTTAGTTTCTTGATTATTTTCTAGAGTCTCTCTTGGGAGAGAAAACTGTCCACATCAAAGTTGAAGTTTGCTTAACCTGTCTGTCTTTCTCTGAGTGGCATTTACTTGGGGGAGTACTGAGAGTTTCTATTTATTTATTTATTTATTTATTCATTTATTTATTTTTGGACTCACCCAAAACAAGGAACCATTTAGGTCGACAATATATATATATATATATATTAAAGCCACTCACTTTATTGTGACGCTTCACCAAACCCCCATTTGCTGTGCTCATTCCTAGGTGACTCTCACTCAGACAGCCGAAGGAGACCAGGTTTGCTAGCCCTATGACTCTAAAGTAAAAAGACAATCATCTCTTGTTCTTTCTTCTTCAAGGCACACTTATGAAACATATTAATTTGCTAACAGCTCTACATGGCTGTGAATTGCAAATCATCCCCTACAATCAAGGGGAAAAAAAGTGTAAAAAGGAATTGCATTAGATCAATGATTTCTATTGTGGGTTACGGACCCCTAGAAACCCAAGAAACTTGTATATGGAGACTGAATGCATGGGCACATGTTGACAGTGTAGACTAACTGAACAGGAATACGTCTGGCATGGAGAGGGTGGAACTTCAGCTATATTTCCTGAGTTCAAACCCTAATTCTGCAACTTAGTAACTGTGTGTCCCTGAACTTTTCCATTAACTTCTTGGTGCTTGGTTCCCTCACTCTATCACTGTATACAGTCAGTGGGAGGAACAGAGTAAACAGGATATATATATACCTTTAGCCCCTTAGCTCTAACCCTAAGTAGCCTTGACCTTGGTCCTTGAGGATCAGCATTTCTAGGCACCTACATGCAAGCAGACAGTTGTTTTTAGCTTTCAATTTCACATCCAATTTTATCTGGCCATGGCCTGGTCAGAGAATCTGGAGAGGAAGAAGCAATAGATTGTCACTTCTCTCTGCTTCCCCAGTTTTGGAGAACAGAAGGGCACAACACCCTGTAGGTGATCCCTCTTCTCCAGCATGTCTCAAATCACAAAAGCTCCTCTACTTGGGCTCTAGCTGCAGGGATACTTCTCCATTCACAGATCCTGTGGTTCAAACATGATCACATGAGCTTCTTTCCCCAGTGCCACAAAGTAAAATATAGGTTAAGGTTTCTGAGGACCAACAAGAGGTGAAAATTGGAAGATAGAGTTGCTGTTGATGAGTGCTGAGGACGAAGACACAGATTCAAAAGTGGTAAGAAGTGAGATTTAACATGCTCTCTTGACCTCTGTGAGCTCATGTCCTGCTATTGCGGGGTGGGGACGAGAAGCTAGCAGCCTGCTCTATCCAGATGTTTGTCCCCCCACACAGCAGGGAATAGGGCAGCAAGATGGTAGGGAGCCCTGACCAAAATTAGGCAGTGGCCAACATATTCATGGGCATGAATAAACACGGGCAAGATAAGGAGTTTTACTCTGGGGTTAGATTTTCACTGTTTGGATCTGCACTTAGCTGTTTAGTAGGTGGGACCAAGGACAAGTTGTTTCAGGTCTCTGGGTACCAGTCTTCCTGTCTGCAAAATGTAGGTGATGGTACTTACTTCACAGGTTATTGAATGATTGGAGTGAAATAGCAGGTGTGACGTATATCAGAATAAAGCATAGGGCTGAATGTCAATTTGCCTAGTTAGGCACCACTCTGAACACTATCTTCAGAAAAGGAGGCTAACCCAAACATAGCTGATGAGCTAACGAGATATATAACACAGAACACATTTCCTTCTCCTTTTTGGTTTCAAGTCTGCTTTAGGACCCTGGACTTCTCTAGCCCGGTCGGCACCTGGGACCCCGAGAAGATGCTGCCTGTCATGCGTGCCTCTGTCCTGCTGTGGACAGCTGTGATGCTTTTCTGTGAGTAGAGGGTCAAATACCCCTCCAGGGGTGCAGGGTGGACCCTGGAGCTGGTTGGGAGCATGGGAAGCCTTAGTGGGACTTCTAGGTTATGTGTAAACTGTGAGACACTTCCCAGGGGTTCTGCAATGGAGACAAGCTGGCAAGCAGCCTACACTGGGCTGAGCAGTGCCTGAGATGAAGCCAGACCACAAGGTGGTTGTAGTTGCTCTGGCAGCTCCCAGGAGGCAGGGAGGGAGGTCAAGGAAAAAAAGAAGTTCCACCTGCCCCGATCAGGTACAAAGGAGTGCTGCACTCCGCTACCCCCTGCTGTGGACCATGGCCACATTCAGATCAACCTCAGGAGTAAAGGGACAGACACTAACTTCTCCTCTCTGGACTTCTGCAGCTCTGGATAGTGCACCGGCAGCTGCTGATGCTCACAGACTTTACTGTGTCTTTTTCCCTCTCTGCTTCCCTCATCTGTTCGTCTATACTTTCTAATAGTTCTGGGTCTTTTCCTCTCTGTCCAGCCCACTACCATTTCCACCTGGCCATCTTGTCTTCTTTTCCATCTTCAAAAGTTTCTCGCAGACAATTGCATTATCTTCCCACCTCCTCCTCCTTCTAAGCCAACAGCCCCGTATGTTGAACATCTAAGTGGCACAACCTCTTGTCCATAATCACGTTCGATTCTTGTATCATCACCATCATGGTTATTGCCATTTTAGAAATGAGAATGTGAAGTTAAGTTCCACAGCTAACAAAGGGCTGGATTGTCACATCAGCCTCTTGGATACAGGTCTGGTTGTCTCCAGAAGGCGTTCTCCTACTCCTCAGTACCACATGGCTGCCACGTCCTTGGTTTCTGTCCAAAGTTTCTCTATATTTGTTTCTGGAAGCCTTTGAAAGCTGATCCTCTTAGTGCTTTTACCACCGTCCAGAACTGATACACATTTTCACTCCATATATACTCATGCAAATTTTGCGCTGGGAGAAACCTTGTATTTTATCTAGTCCAACACATTTATTCAGCCACTATTCACTCATTCACCTATTCCATAAGCATTTAAATGAATACCCACCACATACTGGCCTTTGTGCCTGGAAAGTGACTGCAGTCTCATTTACAGGAAATGAAACTGAAGTCAACAGAAATAGAATTACCCTATGTCACATAGTAAATCTTTTGGTTTGTTTGCTAGGAACCTGAGGTGGATCCTTTCTTTCTGCTCTTGGTTGGAACCAACACTCTTTCCTCCTTCCCTTAGTCCTCGGGATCAGGACAGTTTCCTAGCATCAGCAGTACAGAAGAGAATGACCATTGATCGTTGTCTGTACTTTGGGTCCTACACAGTTTTCAATTACTATTTTCCTCTGTAGCTATTTCTCTACAGCCTCATCTTTCTGAAGCTACCTGGAAATCTGTGGTATCCTTGTATCCCCCATGGAATAGAATATTTAAGGGAGAGAATGTGACTTTCACATGTTATGGCAACAATACCCTCCCAAAAGGCTCCAACAGCTGGATATTCAACAACACCAGCTTAAATGTGACAACCTCAAGTCTTGACATTGTGAATGCAAATGACCTGAACAGTGGAGAATACAGATGTCAGAATGAGAATTTCAACCAGAGTGACCCTGTGTACCTACGCATTTTCAGTGGTAAGTTTCAGAGTCATGGAAACAGATTCTTAATGGGAGGTATGAGCATCTGAAGGTGGGAAAGCCAGTTACCCTGTGGCTTAAGGCAGCAGGCTGGGATCTAAGAACTCTCCCTGAAAGAACTGTGAATATAAAATAGGATCAAAAAGTTTAATTTAAAAATTTGTTCTGCATAATCCCAGAACTGCATTTTAGTCTGATCTTTCATTTTGAAAGATATCAGATATATCCCTTATTTTCTCTATTTTTACTTAGAAAACAAATCTTATATTTGCCTCTGCTTTGTCATTCTTCCACTGCCAACAATGAGCTCACACACTTAGACATATGGGGGTCAATGTTGACTGAACAGAGTAATCATCCCATTTGTATGGCTAAGTCTTTGCTGTCTTTTACTTTACATTTTAAATATGAAACTATTTAAAGTGTCAATATGCTTCATATTTTTCTCTTGAATGAAAAGAGGTGTTTTGATGTCCATATGCAAATTCCAAATACAAACTAATGCAGCATAGAACAGCTTCTCCATTTCCAGAGTGGATTCTAGAAAAGTCCTCAAGGATTGCTCCTAAATAAAATATGCTTGCACAAAGTAGCCATAATTCTATTCAAAATTCTCCCTTGGTGGATGTTTTTCAGTTCTTAAAATATTAGTCATAGAATCCAATTCATCTTTTACTGACTCATTATCAACAAATATTTGTTAACCACCTATCAACTCCCAGGAGTTGACACTGGAGACATAAGGAACATACATGGTCTCTGGTCTCTTGAGGTATAATGTCAAGTGAGGAAGAAATGCTAAATAAATACACCAACCATTAACTAAAATTGCAATACATGCTTTGAGGAAGTTCTGAGGACAATTATGATGAATAGAATTGGTGAATCCTATGAGGTAGGAAGGGACAAAATAGACCCTCCCCAAGGCTGAGTGAGGCCCCTTAACAGACGGTGTTTCTTTCTGTTTCAGTGACTAGTACAGTAACAGTAGTTCCAAAGGAAACATTGGGTTTCAGACCTCCCATGGAGGAGTTCAGTATGGCTGAGATCAGAGAGACTTTAAGGGTCCAGACTTACTCTCAGAAGGAGAGAGGATTTGTCAACATAGAAGATAGGAGCTCAGCATTTCATTTTGTATTTCTTTTCTGTTGACCTTGTGACAAAAATATGGGTTAGTGGTGTTTCATGTATACACACACGCGCACACACACACTGTGTGGTCTTTCATTCTCGCTCTCTATTTATTTATCTATCTATCCATCCATCCATTCCTTGTTAAACAACATAATGAATGCTCTTCAGACTGGTTGCTCCTTCAGGCCACCGCTGAGGAGGTGATAGAGGGTGAATCCCTCTTCATCAGGTGCCACAGTTGGAAGAATCAACAAGTCAAAAAGGTGACATACTACAAGGATGGCATAGCTCTCAAGTACTGGTATGAGAATCACAACATCTCCATCAACAGCACCACCATGGAAAACAGCGGTGTCTACTTCTGTATGGGCAGTATTTGGCATCAACAGTATAATTCTAGTTCCCTCAGAATCACTGTGAAAAAAAAAAGTGAGTTGAAAAGAGATAGGGAAGGAATCTGGAGTGGGGAAGGGAGGGGCCATCCAAACCTGAAGTGGGCACAGCTGGTAGAATTGGGGTGGCTATGAAATCTTGGAGTGTTGGCTGGGATATGTGAATCGAACATATCCCTCATCTCTGTCTTAGATCATATTTGTTTGATGATAATAGTAATACCTGCTCACATTATGGAATTTTATGAAGATTAAATGTGGTAATATTTGTGAAATGGATTTGTAAAAATGTTAAACATAATCCAAGCAAAACAGATTGCAATTACCATTTTGATCTCAAAGTCATCTGTTGCTCCTGGGGAGAAGAGTTATATTTATCAAATGGAAAGGGAGATTCAGAGTGGAAGGGATGAAGACTGTGAAGAACTTGAGGAGTCTATTCCAACCTAGGCAGGTGAGAAGGGAAACCAAGTCAGCAGACTCCCTGTCTGTGTATTAGAGATGACAGAGGGTTTGATGAGGGAAGGGAGAACAGATGGATTTCCTCTGGAGCCTGTAAAAGAGATGGCTCCTTCCAACCTTCACATAAAAGAGGGAGCTTTCCAAATATTTGCCTTGCAAGGAGGAAGTTAGACTTTAAGCCTGGCAGACTTTACTCATACTAATATCTAAAAATGCATGAGATCCACAGCCAGGATTCAACTCTAATGACAGCTCTCTGTTAACTAATTTGAGACCTAAGCACCATTTAATTGTTTCTGGGCTTCCAGTATCCTTATCTATAAAATAAAATATTTGGTCTACACACCATTAGAATCACTTGGGAACTTAAATATTGATGTCCCTCTATAATCCCTAGAGATTCTGATTTAATGGCTTGGAGTTGGGCCTGGGCATCAGTATTTTCAAAAGCTTCTCCAGCTAATGGAAGCATGCAGCTAGAGCTGAGAGCCACATGCCTATGTGGCCTCAAGGGACTTCTGGACCTAGTATCTACAAAACCCAGAATATTGTAAATCAAATAGCAGAATCACAAATAGCTGAATTACAGGCACCCTAAAGATGATGTTGTCCAATATCTTCATTCGCTCAACAGGCAAGCAAGAAATGATGACTGACTGCGAAATAAGTAAACTATGACTCTTGTCCTCATTTGTTTCCTTTCACCCCCAAATCATATGAGGATATTGGGCTTAATCCTAATAAAAAGTCTCCTCTTTCCTAAAGTCTTCCCTCAGGGCACATTGGATAGTGTAGCAGTTAGACAGGGAAATTGGATAGTGTAGCAGTTAGACAGGGAAATATTCAGGATGCGCCAGGTATGCAAACTCAGGAGCTCTGCTCCTAATCCCCTATTGCGCTGACACTGGAGGACTAGGCTGGACCCTGCTCTTAGGGAGGATGAAGGCCCGAATCTCTAACATGAGCTCTGTTTCTTCTCGCATCCAGCTAGTCCCAACACCCACCAAAGCAACTGGCTGCAGCTTCTGGTCCCCTTGTTGGTGGTGATTCTGTTTGCTGTGGACACAGTGTTGTTTACCTTGACCCAGCAGGATCTCAAATTTCTCTTGATGATGAAGAGCACCAGGAAAGGCAACAGGTCTACAAATCGCCATAAGACAGACCTCAAAAAGAACTGACACCACTGTTTAAGGCCATTTGCAGCAGCAATTGCTCCTCGGTTGTCAACCCCAGCTCACAATGTACATAGAACGGTCTGCACTCAAGGTTTCACAGAACTGCTTCATTATCCAACACAAACCAGCTCAGTGGCATGAAATAGCTCAATAAATATCAGAGAAATGAATAAATGATCCATTCATTTATTTGCATCTGCAAAAGAGAAGTGCAATTAGAACAAAATAGGCATGAAACCACATAACATGAGGCTTGCTAGTTTCTTTTTTGCTTCTAGAGTAGAACCATGAAGTTCTAGGTTAGAAATGTCCTCTATTTTTTTTTTAAGATTTATTTGTTTATGCTTACAGGACTGGGGTACAGGCCAGAGGTGTGGTGGGTGAGAGGATTCACCAGAGACAGAGTGGGGAGCAGAACAGGCAGATCAACTGAAACACACTGCTGAGGTGAGCAATGGGCGGGTCAGGAGAGGTCTGCCACACCGTGTGGGTCACCCCACTGGCCGGGGATTGAACTCATGCTGCAGCGGCTTTGGAGAGCTTCATAATACGGTGCTTTAACCCATTGCACCACCAGAGGGAGTCCCAGAAATGTCCTCTCCTGACTCCTGTAAGAATGAGCTAGGAATGAGAAGCTGTGGCAAGATGCCATGAGCTTGATGCCACCTTAGCTCTTTGATCAACATGGTGAGCTGCTCATGCTTGACAGATTCGGGCAGTCTTGAGCTGTGTAATTCTGGGAATGAGGCTCGAGTCATCCTCTGCAATTATTCTGCCCTCAAATAGCTTGCAGCTTCTATCCTGAAAACCCTTATAGGCCCCAAACTAAGACTCTTGGAGAAATTCTAGCATGTAGGAAGAACTTTTATCCCTGACATCACTGAATAGATCTCAGTTCAGGATGGCAACCTTTTGGTTTGTTGATTTCCCTTTCATTTCATGGCCTCACAAATCCATCAGAGGCTCAGGCTTCTCCTGTGGAGTGAATGGCACTAAGATTCAGGCTCTTAAAAGACACTCTCAAAATGAGAGACTAAGCCGCATGAGGAGACACAGATCCAAGTACTGGCTTTGTTTTCTAGGTTTGAGGTTTGGAGAAGTTTTTTTTGCCTCCCTGGTGTTAGCAGTTTATTTGCAAAATATTAATGACAACAGTCAGCCTGTCTATCTGCTAATATGCAACTGAAAATCTAGCAGGAGACTGTATCAGAAAGTTCTCTGTAAATTACAAGGATGCATAAAAAATTAGGGACCTCTAACAAGTTAAGATCCAGTTGTTTCTCCCCTTACCTCTGACCATGGAAAGAGCCTCACCAGGCCTTGGGGAGGGAAGTGGGGAGAGAAACGGCACATTGTTAGTGCAGAGCCTGAGTTCACAAGATCAACTTGGAATCGGCACCGATACTTTACCTATGTCCTAGAAGTTAGTGGAGTTAGTGTACCTAAGGAGGAAGTACACGGGGTTGGGGTGGGGGGAGAAATATCCATGAGACTACTATGTCCAACTTTCTGCAAAGGATGTCTTTGGGACATAAAGCAGAGAGGGAGTTACTAGAAAAAATTTTTTAAATAGATATCTGCTATGAAGTTCCTGGGAAGATAAAAATTTAAATAATAATAACAATGACAATTATTAATATTATTGTAAATAAAATTAATTCAAAAACAAAAAAAGATATTCCTTAAAACTTATCCACTTTGAAAAAAAATCATTATAGAGAGGTAAAATTGGCCAGATTCCCAGAGAATAGTCTTGTCATTCAGGATCATATAATAACAGGCATGGTGAATAGAAAAGAGGTTTCTCTCTCAACAAACAGCCAGGGAAGGTCCCCATGGGGGTATGTGGGCTCAACCCTGCCCTAGAAAAAAAAGTGGTGATCATTTCTAGATTACAGCTTTGGTACCACAGCCTGGCCACAACATCTGTGAACACATTTTTTTCAGTGTTCCATATACAGCATTAAATGAGCCAGAGAAGAATAAAGTCACTTATTCCTTTACTGGGTCAAATGACCCAGAGTAAAACAAACAAACAAATAAAAAACCAAAAACATAAGCGTTATATCATGAATGGAAGTCTAGCCTTGATAGCTTCAGACTGATCAAAATCCCATCTTGTGGGAAATTTCTGGGTACTTGAGTATTACTTCTCCTTCATCGCTCCTTGAGCCCTTACTCCAAGCTTGTGAGAGCTAAAGATGGAACAGGAACTTGAAAGGTTAAACTGCTGTGAATTAGCTGTGTGATCTGGGCACATTGCTGCCAGAGGTGAGATTGCATTTCTTCTTTGTGGACAACATGTGGTCTCTGGGCTGCCTGAGCCCAGACAGTCTGTCATTCCTTATGTGGGAACCCAACCTCTCTTCACCTGGGACCTCTACACACCTGAATTTCAGGTTTGTCTCAGATTTGTGCCTACCATCCATTTATATCTTTTTCTTCTTGGTATTCATACATCTGTTCCATAGGGGACGCAGAACCCACAGTTAGGGTTAAATTGTTTCATGAAGCCACCAAATATGGTATTTATAAAGGAGATTTAAAAATTCTCATATACAAAAAAAAAAAAAAAGAAAAAGAAAAATTCTCATATACAGGAAATACTTTTACTCTGTGCCAGAGAAGGAGTATGTATGTTAATCAGAATAGACAACTGGAATAGAAATAACTCCCCCCAATTTATCCTTGGTGTGTGGGGGGGGTGCTCTTCAGTTGCCTCAAATCTCTTACCAAATTGCTCTAAGCCAGTACCTAGAGCAGATTTTCTCCCCTATAATTGCTGTTACAAATTGACTTGCAAAAATCATTATGAGCTCCAATAGCTGGGGGCTGATTTACTTCACAATCAAGCCATAGCTTCCTACTAGTAGCCAATGGAAGATAATCTCCAAAGTGGAAACTAAGACAAAAATCCACCTTGTCAGTATGATGGGAGATTGAGAACGTGAACAAAGTCTTGACTCTTTCTTGTTCTCATTAAATGGGGGGTGGAGCAACAGGCCACACTCTTAAATACAGAAATGGGAGCTTTATGTTGAGAACGGCAGACACCTCTGGCCTGGGCTTGGACAACCTCAGAGAGCAGTACTGACTTCCTGTTGTGGGTCATCTGCCCTGTTCACAAGCTGGAACCAAGCCCCCGCCCCCATCTGGGGCTTCAATTCTCATGATATTTCCCCCACATATCTTTACTAATGTGCCAGGATCACTGTCAAGTTCACTTGTACTTATCACTGATACACCCACACTCTTTTCCTTTTTGAAAATTGGATGACATATGTTCACTTTTAGTCCTTCCTGTTATTTGCAATTTTTAAAAATATCACTGAGAGTGGTCAGAAACCTCTGCAAGGTAAGGTCATCCAGTTATAAGAAAATTGAAATTGTTCTAAGAGGAGTTTTGAAGACAAAGAAATCATTCCAAGAAAAATTCTGATTTTTATTTTTTAACCAATTTCCAAGGAGTTAACACTGCATTGCTGCCAACTAAATTGAGCTACAGTAAATATTGTTCAATTAATAGATAAAATTATTTGTTTAACTAAAATATAGGCGCCAGCAACCTTCTGCTTTCACTACAAAATATCAAGGCTGAAAATTTGGTTTCTCCACTCACCAATTGCTGTTTCAGAAATGGGAGCCTGAAATGTTGCCAGCTGGGGTCTCTAGGAAACACACTGGACAGAAATTGAGGCAACAAGTTCATGAGGGAGCATCTCACCATCAGCAGCTGTGGGGCGGGTGGAAGCTGCAGCGAAGAGGGCAGAGGCAGAAGCTGAAGTTGATGTAGTCACAGAAAAACCTCAAACCCTCTCATAGGTGAGACCTGGAGGTCACCTATGAGCCACTTCCAGCCACCTCCAAAGGAGATGTTGGGGAGTCTTTATCCCCCCCATAAACTCATCATGGAGGACGTCTGCCCTGGGAGAGGTAGGTCCTTGAGGAGGACTCAGGAGAGCTGTCAGCCCAAGACAGCACAGCATGATAGTGGCTACCAACTTTGTGGCCACTGACTTTACTAGCTCATTATTGGGATTAAGCACAACTACTAAGCAGCAATTTTTTATTAATTTTTTACTACCCTCACAGAAACGAACTGGTGCTATCGTTTCTAGGAATCTGAACACAAGGGCAAAAATATCTTTTATCTCTGCTCTGTCCTTTTGCAAAGTGAGACATGTTAGCTTGCTTAGAAGATCTTATTGGTCCTACCCCCAGCAACCAGCAGGCTGAGACTCTCCCAGGTGGCATCTTGTTTGCAGGGTAACCCCAAGAATCAGCAGGACACTGTGGGAGCTGTGTTTGAGACTCTAGCTAGAGGGCTGAGGTGGGGGAAGGGGACCCCTCCTTGTATCAGAACTTCTGTGTGCACCTGAGATTCTCAGAAATGAAATGTTGTTTTTAACATTCAAACATGGTTTGAAGTTTTAAGAAGAAATTTCTGAAGATTAATCTCTGTAGGATTAGGAGTTTACTTTCTTATATAAGTCAAGCTTCAGATTTCTGCTCATTAAGACGTATTTTCAGGAGTTGTGGTTAAAGTTCTTACATTTTTAACATGATTTCAAAGAGTTTAGGGTCTACTCTGCAAAAGGACTATTCCTGACTTCTCCCAGCCTCCTTCCTTTTTTCTGGGTGAGCCATTTTAACATGTTTGTCTCCACAATTGGAGTTTTCCCACCCAGGTGTCCTGAGACCATGTGTAGGCATCTCTGGGCTCTCTGTAATTGATGGATTTTTCTTTCCCACATTTCCACCCTTACTCCCAGTTAGAGCACTTCTATCCAATGAAGAGTGTGCACTAACCATTTTGAAGATGCTTCAGGTCTGATAGGATACTAGCCAGTAGCAAAAGTAGAACAAGAAAGACAGCATATGCAGGTGGGTTTATTCACATACTTATTTAAAAGTTTGCACAAATTACTCTGACATCCTTAGCAATAAAAAAGTGCTTCTCCAAGTTGGTTTCTAAACCCTTTGTTACAGTTTTAGACCCTGCTGAACTTTGAGCCTTCAAGTAGCTGTGTGTCTCAACACATTCTTGGGTGTGTAGCTGGGTACACATGTGAGAGGGAACGTGGATGTGGGTGACCCAGGCAGCATACATTCTTCCCTACATTCTTGGACATATGCCAAGCCACCAGTCTCCCTTCTGGAGTAGGGCATGGAGAACCACTACTAGCTCAAGTGGAAGCTTCCAGTTTCACAATCATTAACTTATTCTTCCTGATGCTGTACTTAGACATTGTTCAAATAGCAATAAAGATGAACATGTAGTTATAAAGTCAAAGAAAACACCTGCAACACACTTGCCTCATTAGTCAGAGAGGCTTCCGTCCCACAGCTCTGCACAGTGCATCCTTGACCTCCTTGTTCCTCAGGCTGTATACCACGGGGTTCAGCAGGGGAGTGATGACTGTATATGTCACTGAGATAAGCCTGTCCTGGGCCGGGGAACTCTGGGACTTGGGCTTCAGGTAGATGATGGAGGCACAGCCATAGTGGATGATGACCACAGTGAGGTGGGAGGCACAGGTGGCAAAGGCCTTCTTCCGGCCCTCAGCTGAGGTGATCTTGAGGATGGTGGAGATGATGAGGACATAGGAGATGAAGACCAGGCCCATGGGTAGAATAAGAACACAGACACTGACAACAAAGGTGATGATCTCATTGACAGTGGTGTCTCTGCAGGCCAGTTTTAGCAGGGGTCTCACGTCACAGAAGAAGTGGGAGATGACAAAGGCATTGCAGAAAGGCAGGCCAAATACAGATGTTACTTGGATGATGGCCATGCCCAGGCCAATTCCTAGTGACCCACACGCCAACTGGACACAGGTGTCTTTATCCATGATGACTGAATATCACAGGGGGTTGCAGATGGCCACATAACGATCATATCCCATGACCGTGAGCAGGAAACAGTTGTTGATACCAAAAGTGAGATAGAAGAAGAGCTGAGCAGCACAGCTTTGGATAGCAATCAGCTGGTAGGGATTCAGGAGACCAGCAAGCATATGGGGGATGATGGCCACAGTGTAGCAGGTCTCAGAGAAGGACAGGATGCTTAGGAAAAAGTACATGGGGATATGAAGGTGACGATCTAGGCGAATGATGGTCACAATGATGACATTGCCAGCGAGAGTCAGCAAGTACAATGTTAGAAAGACAGTGAAGAAGATAAGCCTGTGTTGCCTCCCAAAGTTGGAGAAACCTTCAAAAAGGAATTCTGTCACAAGAGTGGAGTTTGACTTTGACAATGAGGAAGATCTAGGTCTAAAACAGGTAAGCAAAGGGAAGAAAGGTGTGGTGAGTCAACCGGAAACAGGAGGCTGGACCAAAATCTTCTCTACAGGGTATGTCTTCCTCTGGGAAGGTTGTGGACTTCAAGGTCATCAGTATTCAGCTGTTGGTCAATTGTTGAAGTCATCACATTTGCCTACCTTTTTTGTTGTAGAAAGGTTACCTTTGGGGCAGAGATCTGAGAAATCTGAGGGACAGTAGAGACAAAATAAAGGAGATTTGTAGAAAGAATTACCCAGCCATTGAAGAGGTAAGTCCAGGCAAAAAAGAAACACAACTCTCTAGTTCTTCCTCAAATTTTCTGGATTTAGGTTGCCAAAGAGCCAAGAAGAACAGTGACCTAGGTGAAAGATAAAAGATAGATGAGCTAGTGTCTTGTCAACACTCAGAACTCACTGTCATACCAAGTGCCCCTGAGGGCGTAGAATGATTACTCCCTCAGTAACCAGGGTTTTGCTTTTTTCTCCTAAGCCCCACACTTAAGATCCACTGTGATTGTGAAAGACTAGATATTCCTTCTGTAGCCCTAATACCAAATATCCTCTAGGATCATGAAAAAGGAGTTGATACAACTCTGCAGGTATTACCTTATCTTCTTGAATTCTAGCAGAAAGCAGCAAGAGGATGGAATATATCGGAGGCTTTCCCTTCAAATAAGGAAAGGGTTTTCCTAATGGAAAGTAAAGGTAAAATGCTTTTAATCAGAGAAGAGCCAGATGTTCTGTTTTGTTTTGTTTTGTTTACTTCAATTTTGCATATTCCAAATTGTGAGGCGATTCCATATGAACTCAAATTAGGGTCTGTGCTGGGGCAGATTTAACCTTGTCTCTTAAACCCATATCTATTCCTGGTAAAGCCCACCAGGGATAACCAGCACCTCCATTCAAAAAGTTGAGAATCATCCTAATTATCTCCTTTAATTTTTCTACCTTAAAAATAATGCCTCTTGGGACCTTCCTGGTGGCGCAAAGGGTTAGGATGCAGCACTGCAAGCAAGTCACAGCTGCTTTAGTGCAAGTTGGATTCCCCGCCCGAAGGTAATACACATGGTGCAGCAGACCTCTCCTGTCTTGCCCACTGCTCACCTCAGCGGTGTACTTTGTTGATCTGCCTGTTCAACTCCCCACTTTGTCTCTAGTGACTCCCCTCACTGCCTCTGCACCTCTGGCCTGTACACAAGTTCTGTATGCATAAATAATTTTTTTAAAGATTTATTTGTGCATACAGAACTGGGGTACAGGCCAGAGGCTCAGGGGCGGTGAGAGGCTTCACCAGAGACAGAGTGGGGAACAGAACAGGCAGATCGACAAAGTACACTGCTGAGGGGAGCAGCAGGCGGGTCAGGAGAGGTCTGCCACACCATGTGGTCACCTCCCGGGCAGCTAGGAATCGCTTTAGCTTCTCAGTGCTGTGTTTTAACCTGCTGTGCCACCAGGGAGGACCATGCATAAATAATTCTTTAAAAAAAAATGTCTCCTGCAATTCTTTTCTCTCTGTCCTGGCCTCTTATGCTTTCTCCAACTTATCACTGCCATTGCCATCTTTCATAGTGACACATGTTCTCCTAACTAACTGCCCTCATTTAGACTGACCTTAGTACAAGTCTTCCTCCTGAATGCTGGCATAGAATTTAATTAGAAATCCTGCTAATGAGGCCTTTTTATATAAATTCCTTTCCATTTTAAGCATGATATTTAACCTATGTTGTAAATTGAATATAGTAATATTCCATAAAGTTTCCATGAGTAAAAAAAGGGCTGAAGTATTTGAGGCATTTGTCACAGTTATTTTAGGGTAAAGGCTGTGGGGTTTCATTGGACCATTGTAGAGTTCAGAAACAAGTCTGGGATTATCCTAGCCTTGGTTTTGAAAATGTCATCATTTCCCTTTCAGTTGCTCATATGGACTTTTTAAAGCTCTTTTAAAATCATTCCTGAATTGGATTGACCAGAACCATATGCTGCTACTTATACAATCTCAACATGGGGTGGATTAGATAGACTAAGTTCTTCAGTTTTGTTCTAATCTCCTTTTTGAGGATGCCCAACATTTTACTTTTCTTAGATCACAGCAGTCCATCCTGCAAATATATATAGGAACAATCTCAGTGACATCTAGATTGCTTTCCTGGGTTATAATTGATAGTTTGGAACTCATCACTATAAATCACAGTTTTCATCACACTTAAACACTTGAATTGAAGCTCATCCAGGTTAATCTTATAATTCAATTTCACTTTCTTGGCTAGAAGGTCTTACACCTGTGTCCTAGAATATTTCTTTTCCTTCTTCCAGACACCATTTGTCAGTCCTAAATTCAAATACTAGCTTTAGAACACTCAATGACGCCACCATTTTGGGGGAGACCATAATAGAAGAATCAGAATAAAAGAGGTGCAGAATGGGTTGGGGAAATGAAAAGCACTGACAAGAGTTGGATTCTCATCTAAAATTTAGAAAATATAGGTGAGGAAGAGAAGATCAGAGACAAAAAGGAGGAAGGACACAGATAGAATCCTCAAAGTCAAGTAGTGTCTTTGACTTTGGAAGTTTAATTACCATTTCTTTCTTTTATATAAATGTTAACAACTGAGTAAACTTAAGATTACCTTTGACCCCAACCATGGATAAGGATACTATTTACATTTTTTTCCTCAAAAAAAAAAAAAGAACTTATTTATCTAATTGCCCCTGATTTTCTTAGTTGCCTGTGAATACTAAAATTTTGTTTCAATTCAAACAAAATCATTTCTTAGGTTACCCAATGTGCTAAGAAGTCATAAAGTATCAGAATGGTGCTAGTGCTATGAAAACAAAGATGACTAAGAAATGGCCCTTGCCCTTAGGGAGCTTAAATTTTTGAGCTGCACTTTGAATGGTATCTAGTTTAAGGCATTTGAAGTCTTACAGCCCTCCTCTCTCCTGTGCATATCCACATTGACTTCTTGGAGAAGTCACAATCTTCTATGTATGGGATCAGATTCCCCCTTCTATAGGGTGTCACTTTCTGTACGATATCTGAGAAGATGTTAAAATACACATCCCTATCCTAGCAGGTAAGGGGGTGAAACTCACCATGTAGCCTCCTTGGTTCTTCCAGGGAGCTGTTCTCATGTCTCAGAGGCCCATCCCCCACTCTGGAAATGTGACTGCCTGCAGTAACAGATATATTTCGTAACTGATAGCTATAAAAATGTTTCCCAGATTTTTGTTGATGCCCTTTTGCAAATTATTTAAAACCCATTAGTTACTGGAGTTTAAATTACTTCATTTAAAAAGTGCTATTTTACTAAACTGTCTATAAATTTTCTTATCTGAAGGTCACTAAAATCATACCAAGCACAGCTATGGTTTAATGGGAATTGTCCCTTCACCATCAAAGCTTTAGATCCCACCCAGAATATGACAACCAAGAGAAACCCAAAAGTAAGGAAACAATGTCTATTCTAGTCTTCTCATGCCTGAGAATAGGACAAAGGAAGTCACATTGATTTCCTCTAGATTTTCACAGTCCTCTTACTAGACAAAGGGTCTCTTTGGGTCACAAACAACATGTCTGCCTTGCCGTTTCTTAATAAGGTAGAAATTGTCTGTCCCAGACCCCAGGGGTTCTCTTCCCAAAACAGCATTGGCTCCTCCCAAGTGACCAAGAGCAGGAGACAGGATCCAAACAACAGGGTGCCTGGAGACCTTATTAACAGGGAGCGCATTCCCTAAGCCTGACATTAACATTTTGGAGGGAAACACTGACTTGGCTACCAGGAGAAATCCCGGTGTGGAAAAGACTGATTTCAGAGTTGGGCAGGTGGCCAGCTGAGATGATGCTCGCACTTTCCATCCATTTCTCTAAAAGCTAAGACCTTGTGGAGAGACTCTTCATAAGTAGCAAAAGAAAAGCAGCAATTGTCAAGCAGGGTTAAGTATGAGCCTTGAAGCTGGGCACTCCAGAATAGACCTTCAGCTACTCTGACACTGAAGCCACTTTAAAATCTCAGTGTAGATTCATCCATCCAATCCCCAAATTCTGCTCTAAGAATGTTTACATATTTTTTTTAAGATTTATTTATTTATGCTTACAGAACTGGGGTACAGGCCAGAGGTGTGGTGGGTGAGAAAATTCACCAGAGGCAGAGTGGGGAGCAGAACAGGCAGATGGACAAAGTACACTGCTGAGGGGAGCAGTGGGCAGGTCAGGAGAGGTCTGCCATGCCATGTGGGTCAGCAACCTGGCTGGGGATCAAACTTGTGCTGCAGCGGCTTGGTAGAACTTCATAATGTGGTACTTTAACGCATTGCATCACCAGGGAGAGAATGTTTATATTTTTAAATTCATGCCACTTGCAGCAACATGGATGGAGCTGGAAGGGATTATGCTGAGGGAAAGAAACCAGAAGAATAAAGAAGTGAGGGAATAGCACAAGGCACAAGGGAGATGGATCACGGGTGCTATGGTGGGGGAGAACTACACGGACTACACCCGTGTAGTCAAATACTGTCCAAAAAGAAAATAATTAATAATAATTAATAAAAACAGCACACACAAAAGAATGTTTATATGTTTAACGGGTCTTTCTTCTCTTTACCTTCTTACTACACACCCCAAATTCGTTCTGGAGTCCCTAGCTTAGTTTCACCTGAGGCCTCAGACTTGGCAGGCCCTGGCTATCCATCTTATTACCAATAACCTACAGAGACGTTAGCTAGTGTTAGCAGCCTTAGAATAGACAAACATTGGCACTCAGTTGTCACATGTTATTAAGTCTTTAATCACTTCCTGTGCATTGATCATATTCTTGACTCAATTGCAACCACCTTTAATTAGAGATGCTCATCTCCATTTCCCTCAGTGAATGCCACTATTAATAAAAATAATTGCTAACACTTATTATGTGTGCATATTATATGCTAGATTCTAAGTTATACAATGAATATATATTAATTTATTAGCCCTAATAGTAACTGCATGAGGAAGCATTATTATATTCATT